GTGTCCACCTAGAACTGCTGACAGCCTTATGAAGTCACTTTATAAACAAAATAAGGACTTTCAGCCTTATCTGGTTAAAATTTAGAAATAATGTATGTAATTATTTTGATGTCAGTATATAGTTATATATAAACCCAAGCAATTTTTTTCTCCCAGCAATCTGTGTACCATTAAAATAGAAAAAAAAATGTGATTAATTTCAGGACTTTTACGAGACGTGGCATGCTTGGCACAAAGCCACGGTGCAGTTTGACTGAAAACGGGTTGTGAACAAGAGCCAAAAATATTTCATTTCATAGTAAATACGTTCAAGCCTTCTTCAGACGAGGAAAGTTGAAAATTGCTTAAGAAGCATTCTGCTCAGACCTCCCGTAGTGCTAAAGTGCTAAGGGGGGGGGGGGGGCGGGGAAGAAAAGCTGGTGCTTTGGCTGCTGTGGGTGGGTGTGGGGGAGATGGGAGGGAGTTGTGTTTGGGAGCAAGGGATGTGGAATGTTAGGGATTTACGGGTGTAGCTTTTCGGAAAGTGTTCAAAACATCCTGCCACTGACGCCACCGTTCTCCAGCAGAGTCAATAGCCAATGGGCATATTTCTGCATTGATAATTATGTATTCGGATAATTATTAACGAGTAATGTACGCACAAAATGATGGCATGAGTTTGTATTTAAGTACAGTACATGGAGTTATTTTGAGGGTTGCTGGCATTAGATGGCTACTTCATGATTGTTATGGTAACACTCATATTAGAGCTCTATTGAAATGGAACACTGACGCATTCTAGTACATTCTAGGATCTACAGATAATCTTTAAGGACACATTTTATAGTTACAATCTGACGTGTGCATACTAAATACTGGATACATGGAGTTTCACTTTTCATACATTACAACTAATTTACCATATTAGGTGTTTTTCTTTAAAACATTAGAAACATAGATATAAACGTCATATGCTATGGAACTCAAATGTATATAATAAATCAAGATTGTATATAACCATCAAGATATATAATATGTATATATCTCATGCATATCTTTTCGACGGTAGTTCGTGTTATAGTCCAGTAACACAGAGGGGTTTAAGCAGCGTACATGACTTGCATAGTCTAACATATTTTTTTTTACATTTTGGAACTACTTACAAATGAGGTTATGTAATGTTTCAATATTTTTAAAAGTATTTTGTGGAAGTGCCCCTCGCTTGGGTTTTTAGACGTCCAAAGTGGATTCAAAACGTGAATTCCCATAAACTCCCCTGGGTTTGACCTCCTGGCATAAGGATTAACGTTAGGTAGTTTTTTTGGAACTGCAAGGGAAGTACCGTTATATTTGTCATTGAGTATTGCACAATACGTACAGCTGGGATTTTCCTCTTACAACTATTTAAATAAATAACACCCTTCTCATTGAGTTGCTTTATTATTAGCACGCATATTAATATTAAGCACGCAAATTACCACATTACAAATATACCGGTTTGAAATAAGGAAAATCTATTTTACGAGCAGTATTCTCTCACTGATGACACTGTAGTTATATGTTTTTATTAACTACCCGCTGATATGTTTATCTTGTGTGAATGTCAGGGCCGATGCTTTAGTTACACATTCGACGTTCCTCTGTTGTTTTTCAACTCATCACCTTGTTTATTCCAACACTGCCTCCAACAGTAACGTGTCACGCGGACTATTCAGCCGTGCTAAATTTAAACACAAACCCTGAGTTGTTCTTTAGGGATATCGCAGAAACGATGTTTTGGCTCCGCGCGCGTCTTTGGGTCCGTGACTACGTCCATTGTTCAAGCGGCCGCCCTGTGCAGTTGTTGCGCGCCGCCTGCGTTCTGCGCGGAGCGTAGAGGAGCCCAGGGCGTGGGACCATTACAAATAGTCTCGAGCAGGAAACGCACGTCTGGCTACGGTCCCCAAAAAGCTTTATCATATGCTCCCTTCCCCCCCTCCTCCTCCCTCCCCTCTTCCTTCCTTCCTTCCCATTCTTCCTGTCGCCAACTCACAGTGAAACGTCAATTGCCTGTTTTGAATTATAGCCTTACATTTGTGATTAAACAGAACTCAGACAGCCAGGCCATAGGGTCCTGTGTATGTTTGGTAAGTGTGTGTGTGTGAGAGCATATGTGTGCAAGATTGTATAATAAGTGTGGCCCAGGTTCGTGCTGAGTATAACAGTGTATTATTTTACATTCTCTGTAAAACTTAAATAAAAATTTTTGTAAAGTGGATATTTGCCTTCATATAAATATACTGAAATGCTTTTTGGTTTTATTCCCAGCCATGGCTAACATCAGTAGCAAGTGATATTTGAATTGGTCCTGGGCCTTTCCCTTCACCAATCCACATTGGTGAAGTATGGTCCTATACACCTCTACAACTGAAAGACAAGACCTTTATTGAGCATGACAAAGGGCTGAAAGTATTAATGTATGCATATACGAATATTTTAGGACATGTTCACTTTTTTTACGTCACGTAATTGCAACTAATTTGAGAACATTACATCAGCCAACCTAACGGTTAACTTCTGTAAAAGATCGTCTAATAATTAACAGTATTGCCAAGTTATTATGGAAAGCACACTGGTTACACTGAAGTCGAGTTCAGAACACGTTGCCGACTTCGGCACATTACATTTAAAAATTCCACTAAAGCGTGAATGTGCAACAAAGCAGATCTGGAAAGCATTTATCCGCCTCCCCATCCCCCTTCTTTCGCAAGGACCCCTTTGGCCTTGTTGGTTTGGCTAAGAGATGAAAAAAAAATCAGGCATTTGTGAGCCGATTTGTCCATGACCTTAACAGTCATTGGACTTTAAAAGGGGAAAAAGCACGTGACCGTAGAGCTTTTTTTTGCCGGAAGCGACCTTTGTCCCCCCCACGTCAGTAATAGTTGCATTCACCACGCTTTTAAACGGCGGCTCTGCCTTTCTCCACACTTGCCATAGTTTCTGCATGAAGCACATACCATTCCGCGCGAACGAAATTGACAACAACCAAAAATGCACGACGCGCGACACACCGCTTGCATGTTTAAACTGAATTCTACTCATAACATGTAGATGTTATTCTCCCGGTGGGGTGTGCGATGGCAATTGTCATTACCTCTGCGTTTCGCCAGTCAATACATTGTTTAGGTGTGCGCATGCATATGTAAGTGTGTATAGCGGTCCCGGGCCTCACTTAGGTCGACTCAGCCTCAAATGAGTAGTACCTGGTGCAGTGTCTAAAATATCAGCACTGGGTGCTTGGCCACTCACCGCCTCGTGCGCCGTGTTGGCCTTCGAATAGGTGAGAACTAACATCACTTGCCCCAAGAGTCTATTAGAGGCTATACGGGGGGAACTATTCCTTTAAAGCTATGAGTGTAAGAAGATATGCGCATGCAAATTTGTGGATATTTTGATGGTTGTTAAACGTGCGGAACAACATTCCTGTGATCAACTTTCCTTCATCGGTTGTAAGAGAGTTCAAGTTTGAAAGTGTGCTGCTTTGGCACATTCATGCTGTACTTTATAGCATCCTTATACAGCTGTAGTTCCACACGTGCACTTAAGTTTCCTTAATTATAAATGTTACCAATTGTGGTGATCCTGCTGTGTTGGCAGTGGTGGACAAGCACGATTAACTATCAACCCTTTCGTCAATTACACTGCCTTTCGATAGTATTTGATTGAATAAGTTTGCTTATTAAATTGTTTGTTAGTGTTAAGTAACTATTCATATATCAATGTAAATACTGGTCATCAGAAAATATATGTTTCAAATGTAATTTTCATCAACGCCTTACGGAGTAAAGTGCAGACTGGAACTTGTATCCACTCTGTCTCTCTGGCTTCTCGATCTATTTATTTGCAATGAAAAAGAGTCATTGCCCAAAACGTCGCCATAAATATTTATTTTAATTCAACGTTATTGGTATATAGTCTGTGTCATATTTAATTCTTGACAACATTAATATTGCACGTCCTCAGTATTTTTGAGGCCTTGACCAAGGAAAACTGATAAGCCAACACAATGGGGAGCCACACTGCCAATGGCACAAAGGATATGCTGAAAGGAGCCTTGTGTGTCTTATCTGAAAATACCTCCGTTAGCATCATCACTTGGCAGCCTATCAGTAATACTCACCTCAGCAGCAGCAGCAACAAACAGATGCGATTACAGATGAGCCAGTGCCATGGAAAGACAGCTCGAGTTTGCGTTTGTTTATCAGACACAGAAGAAACATCCCAGGGCCCTTCCTGACCCTGAGTGATGGGTACCTCCCATACGCTCGCTGCCTGTCGCCATCAATCTTGGAGGAGATCGTAAAGCGAGCTGATTAACCCCCTACGCCCACCGCCATCCCCATCCACTGTCCCTTCAAACTGCCACCATGGTGGGCACAAAAGTCTTCATGGAGTGATCGACAAACACTGGACAGGGTGTCGTGAGGACAGAAGGGGCGTGGGAGCCAAAGTTAGGTGGGTCACACGAGGGGACGACTGCAACGGTTAGATGTCCCCGTTGGTTTTTGTTCTGTTTATTGTTTTAAAAGCGTTTGTCACACGCACTACACACACGGGAGGAGCGCAGAGAATAGAGAGTGCGTCCACACGTGGACATTTCAGTGTGTGTGTGTGCGCATGATTACAGGACGAGATTGTCTATGATTAAAATAAAATAATTGTAAATGCAAGTGTATTAATTATAATGAATAATATCTACAATTATCCTCAAATATTAGTTTAATATTATTAACATGGGGTGAATGCAATTGGAAAAAGTGTAAACCTTTTTGAGGAAAGTATTTCTAAGCATGCAAAGGGTTATTTCCCTTCGAGTTTGACAACACGTGTATACACCCCTTCGATTGTCCTCCTAAATATACAAACTGTGGTCTGATAAACGTGGATTAAACTTGCAGTGACCTGAATCCCCGTGTCAAATTCCAACCTGGAAGGCGAGAAGTGGCCCGTGACCGGCTGTGAGAGTGGCTGTGGACAGACACTGGGAGGCAGCCGGCGTTGCCCGCGGAGAGCGGAGGAACAGCAACAGGCCACCCGAGGGCCAGTGCCCCCTGCCCTACAGCAGGCCCCACGAGGGCCAGTGTCCCCTGCCCTGCCACAGACCCCACGAGGGCCAGTGTCCCCTGCGCTACAGCAGGCCCCACGAGGGCCAGTGTCCCCTGCCCTGCCACAGGCCCCACGAGGGCCAGTGTCCCCTGCCCTGCCACAGGCCCCACGAGGGCCAGTGTCCCCTGCCCTGCCACAGGCCCCACGAGGGCCAGTGTCCCCTGCCCTGCCACAGGCCCCACGAGGGCCAGTGCCCCCTGCCCTACAGCAGGCCCCACGAATGCCAGTGCCTCCTGCCCTACAGCAGGCCCCACGAATGCCAGTGCCCCCTGCCCTACAGCAGGCCCCACGAATGCCAGTGCCCCCTGCCCTGCAACAGGCCCCACGAATGCCAGGGCCTCCCTGCCCTGCAACAGGCCCCACGAATGCCAGGGCCTCCTGCCCTACAGCAGGCCCCACGAATGCCAGTGCCCCCTGCCCTACAGCAGGCCCCACGAGGGCCAGTGCCCCCTGCCCTGCAACAGCCACTCAGCGCTGCTCCTCCCCTTCTCTCGCCACCCCCTGCCTGCATAACCCCATCCATCTCCATTCTTTGTTCTTCGCTGCGTTGAATGCTTCGCTTCTCTCCCGTCTCCCGGCTGTTTTGGTGCTCTTAATTTCCAGTAAAAGCAAATATAAGCAGGAATCCGTTCATCGTTTCCACATACAAATAAACTTATTTTGAGTCGAGCTGCATATTGACTTCTAGACCCACGGTACCAAGGACATTTGTTTAAGCAAATAAACTCTGGGCTCCTTTCGACCTTTTGGATCTCATCAGCAAGGGTCAGGCTTGTTAAACTAATGCTGCTGGATTACCAGATATTGGCAAAAGCACTCCATGCAAAATATTGGACGCCATTCAAAGCACAAAGCAACACTTTCAACACCGTTAATTTATGGTGTTTTTCTCCCTTCCCCCCCCACCCCCAATGTACGTGTTCATTTAATATATCTAAGTTCACCTTAAATGTAATGAATCAATGTACGCCTCCTTTTCCTTTGATAATTAATCCTTATGGCGGTACCCCGGGGTTCCAAATAATACAAACTGGTCGAGGCAATTAAATAATGTTTTATTTCTGGGACTACTATATATTTTTTTCCAGGGGTGTAACTTAACTCCGCGACTGGGGTACCCAATCAATCCGAAATCAGTGCCACACTCCGCGATGTCGAAACGCAGCGAGGACGACGATTGCGCTGAACCCATGAACGCTCGCGGCGGTACGCGCCGTAGTGGTGGTGCATCGTGAGTAACAGCTCGTTGAGATGAGTCGTTTGCTGCATCGCCGACCATCAACAGACTACAAATGACTGCATCACGGACATTATGCGAGAGCCGGGGTACCGCCATAAGGCTCAATTGTTGCTTTTAAAATTACACTCGGGATTAAAAAAACAAATTTTTTTGAACAGCTTTTATGTGTTTAGTTTGTGGTCCTTCCACCGCACCGCCGATTAGCACGGTTGGCTACGAAGTTCAACATACGTACATATATTACATGACGTAACATTAATTTAATACAGTATAGCTTCATATTAGCCTTAAACACACTCTTAACCCTATACTGTATATTCTTCTAGTTCAGTGGTAATTTTTTGTATCCTTCAGCAATCATATATACGCGAGGTCATAAAGTTATATATAAAACCAAAATTAGAGAGATTTTAGCAATACAGTATATATACATATGTGTATATTTAAGTGTAAAACATATAGGCCATATATATTATGTGATTACATTAAAATTACTTAAGTTAATATATGCCAGACGCTGCCATGATCCACACTAGAATTGCAGGCCAGCTAATCGCCAGTACGATTATATATCCTGGCGCAGCAGTTGAAAAACATGTTACGTTTATTCAATCCCTCCACCTCTGTCCACCCAGTGCAGCAGAATAAATGGGTACACCCCAGTCGATTGGCCGTTTGCAAACTTGTGTGGCCAGTGTGGATGAGTAGGCTCACTAGATCTCCCTCTTTCTGCTAGCAGTAGTGTGAGCTAAGCTATTGCAAGGCTGCACCATTATCTTTGACTATGCATATTTTATCATATGCCAACATTATTTATGGACATATCCACGGGGTACGAAAAGACACTGCATAAGTATGTGGTCATGCCAAAATCAAGGTATTATCTCAGGGTATGCATTTCTGTCTCCAGGTTGGTTCTCTGCCTCAGAGAGTCTAGATCAAGCCTTCTTCTGTATTCCCTCAGGCACCCACCCCTCCGCGTTCTCCATTAGTCGCCCTGCGATCAGGGGCAGTGATCCATTGCAAGCCGCAGCTCGAGACGTGTAGGTCACCGGCACAAAGATGGAGAGCCATCCTCTGCCCCAACCATCGGAGGGAATTTCCTTTACGATTCAGCTTTTGATACGAAGTGGCTTTGCTGGCACTCACAACACTACAGATATTAGTGAACGTGTGGTTGGTAGATATATTCTGTAGTAATGTATGTAATTCTCCCTCATATCATGGAAGCATACGGAACTGTTCACCTTAGCAGGGCTTCAATTACAAAATAATTATGTACATTTAAACTGCTATAAATTGTTTCGGGATGCCATTCATATCAATTTAGTTTTATTCATTTTTATTGAAACTAGAAAATGGATCAAACATTTAGAATTATTACTTTATTCTTACATTCCAGCACAATGTAATGTGACAGAATATTTGAACATTATCATGAAATTGATATTAACCCCAATTCTATACATCTTAAAAATTATTCAAAAGCAAATTTAAAAAGTTAATTTCATTGCGTTAAGTCATTGTGGTGTAAATGTGAACTCGGTTTATGGTACACCAATTAAATAGCACATTCTTTCATCTCCATCTGGTTCCAAAATCTTTAATTTTAACAAATATCTTTAGAAACTGGGAAAAAAAAACTATCTTGCTGAATAAATTGGAACCCGTTGTTCAGCAGCAAAGCGGAATGTTCAACCAAAAGGAAGCTGCATTGGTTGGATGAGATGCTACATTATCAAAGAGGATCTTCACAGGAAGAGTGTACAGACACTGAAGTACCTGCAGAGAATATATGGTAGTTTTCCTCCATCATTCTCCCTGCTTTAACGCTGAAAATTCATTTGTTACTAACCCCCAGGATGTAAAAGATTTAGAGCTGGCACAGGAAGTCAGAAGTGGTTGACATAACTGGGTCGAATTTTTTTTATCTCTGAAATTCATGTTTATCAAAGCTTGCTGGAAAAAAAAAACTGAATTCATGGAGAGCATGGCAAATTTCATATTTTAATGAGACCTTTCCTCAAATGTATCATTAGTGTTTGTGTCGTGAAAGCATACTCTTGAAATAATTTACCGTCGGTAGTGTGTTTAAATAATGTTAGAAAAATGTATGCATTTCTAGATTTGAAGCTTTCGTGACTGCAAGGATCCATACTCTTTGGTTCTATTCGGTAAAGTCACGTAGGTAAAAAAATAAAACAACAAAAATCACGACGTTTCGGCCACAACACAAGCGGCCTTCATCAGGTGAAGGGGCCAGACTGTCTCGAGGACAGCGCTGGAGTGAACACAGCTAAGCTCAGACCGTGACAAGACCATTGCCAAGCAGTTTGGTGAGAAGGTGACAACAGTTGGTGCGATTATTCGCAAATGGAAGAAACACAAAAGAACTGTCAATCTCCCTCGGCCTGGGGCTCCATGCAAGATCTCACCTCGTGGAGTTGCAATGATCATGAGAACGGTGAGGAATCAGCCCAGAACTACACGGGAGGATCTTGTCAATGATCTCAAGGCAGCTGGGACCATAGTCACCAAGAAAACAATTGGTAACACACTACGCCGTGAAGGACTGAAATCCTGCAGCGCCCGCAAGGTCCCCCTGCTCAAGAAAGCACATATACATGCGCGTCTGAAGTTTGCCAATGAACATCTGAATGATTCAGAGGACATCTGGGTGAAAGTGTTGTGGTCAGATGAGACCAAAATGGAGCTCTTTGGCAACAACTCAACTCGCCGTGTTTGGAGGAGGAGGAATGCTGCCTATGACCCCAAGAACACCATCCCCCACCGTCAAACAATTGAAAAGTGATTATGCTTTGGGGGTGTTTTTCTGCTAAGGGGACAGGACAACTTCACCGCATCAAAGGGACGATGGACGGGGCCATGTACCGTCATATCTTGGATGAGAACCTCCTTCCCTCAGCCAGGGCATTGAAAATGGGTCGTGGATGGCTATTCCAGCATGACAATGACTCAAAACACACGGCCAAGGCAACAAAGAAGTGGCTCAAGAAGAAGCACATTAAGGTCCTGGAGTAGCCTAGCCAGTCTCCAGACCTTAATCCCATAGAAAATCTGTGGAGGGAGTTGAAGGTTTGAGTTGCCAAACGTCAGCCTCGAAACCTTAATGACTTGGAGAAGATCTGCAAAGAGGAGTGGGACAAAATCCCTCCTGAGATGTGTGCAAACCTGGTGGCCAACTACAAGAAACGTCTGACCTCTGCGATGGCCAACAAGGGTTTTGCCACCAAGTACTAAGTCATGTTTTGCAGAGTGGTCAAATACTTATTTCCCTCATTAGAATGCAAATCAATTTATAACATTTTTGACATGCGTTTTTCTGGATTTTGTTGTTGTTATTCTGTCTCTCACTGTTCAAATAAACCTACCATTAAAATTATAGACTGATCATTGCTTCGTCAGTGGGCAAACGTACAAAATCAGCAGGGGATCAAATACTTTTTTCCCTCACTGTACATATATTTAAACAAACGCATATTCTTGTATTACATTACTATCTGACACTTGCAAATGTGTTTTTTTAATAAGGCAGATATTTCTTCCAAAAAAACTGTCTGAGCGCTTATGTGGTTATGAATAAATTACGGATTGGTAATGCTTCACCACCAATGCAAATAAGATGCCCAATGTGCATTTTGAATATGGATGCCCACAAACACTGGATACGGTAAATAGCTTTAAACAGTGGCCCACATGAGCCACATTCCTCTGGCATACTTTGGAAAATGTGACATGAATATAAATTTGAGAAACGCCTTCATCTCCGGCTTGCACTGATTTTGCCCTGCAGCGGTCTTCAGCATTTTGGTTGAGCGATGTGGAGATGGAGGCTAGCAAAGGATATGGTGTGGGCTGTGTGGCACCCTGACCTGTCCGACTTTGTTATTTCCAGCCGAGCTCTTTGCAAGCTCGAGCGCCAAAAAATGTTCTGCACGATGGCCTGAAGGGAGGTGGCTCCTGAGATTGTGTACAGTGGCCTCATTATTCACGGTGGAATTGTCGACCCAGATGCCACGGAGAACTCCTAATAGCCATTAGTGTAGAGTCTGGGTGCTCTTGTCTCCGTCAATGTATCTTTGAAGCTTTTCACATCCAAATCGCTCGATCCTCACTGTTGTAATGACTTCATTACAATAATTCTCCTCGCAGTACTTACCTGTGCATCATTGCACAAATCCTATACTTAAAAAAAATGTCCGCAACATCGAGTCATATAAACATACACTTAATTCCTGTCATGCAGCTCTCCATTGACAAAACATACGATGTATCTTCTTAACCAGCTTAAAGGACAGTACAAGAGGTTTAATATGCTCTTCAAAAGTAATCTCTTGTTTTGACATCTTTATTTTATTAATTGCTGTTCAGCTGTTGTACTTTTTAGAACAAATTGTATATTTTTTTAAAAAATAGTATGTTAAATTACTGTTCATATCAGTATATTTAGTGAATATAGTGACTAAGAAAATATAACACTTTCAATCTACAACAGTCTTATTCTGCATGCACTTTTTTTTCTAGACTGTAATATTCGGAATTGTGTTTATTTTATATGTGGAGGACTAGATATGAGAAGGAGATATATTGTCGGTCTATTTCCATATTTATTTATGTTTCTTATATCCTGGGTCTCCTTGCACAGGCTACGCGCATGCGTGTTCTGCAGTGGCATGTGGAACCTGGACCAGTCTGAATCTTTTGCTTATTTTTTAGTGTTAATGTTTAACATATAACAAACTTCCAACTGTTATTGGATGTCTCAGTCACTGCAAGCCTGTGCCAATAAATTAAAGATAACGGTTTATATTTTGATTTAAAGCTTTCGTGACTGCAGTGATTAATATTATTGGTTCTTTCGGTAAAGTCACGTTGAAGGGAAACAATAAAATAATAAAATATATAACGTGACTTTACCGAAAGAACCAAGAATATATAACGGTTTATATTTTTTTCTGCTTTGCTTTTCAATTATTATAACCTTGCACTGACAAGCCCCCTGCAATAT